CTGTACAAAGACTGCATGGTCACTAAGGCACCTGACCCAAACGTCACCTTCACCTTTACATTCCAACTGCACACCTTTGCCTATGTGCAACCTAGAAAGACAAACATTATATCTTAAGYAKTCACAAAYAAATTTTAGTTCAGATTATACTGCATATTCAATATTGAAAAATTAAAAAGAATAAAGAAAGGACATAATACAACACCATTATCAAAAGATAACCATGGTTAACTTTTTTATATTTCTTTCTTTTCCTATTTATATATAATAAAAATATACATAGTGCTTGCTATGTGTCAGGAACACTTAACATGAATTATAATTTAACCTTCACAACTAAATAAGGTACAYACTATAATTTCTATATTTTATGAGTTACACTGTCCAGCAATATATGGCTATAATTAAAAATTCAGTTAATCACATGACCTTTTTTTTTGCACCAGGAACTGAACTCAGAGGCATTTAACCACTGAGTCACATCCCCAGCCCTTTTTATTTTTTGAGACAGGCCTCACTAAGTTGATAGGGCCTCACAAAGTTGCTGAGGCTGGCCTTGAACTTGAGATCCTCCTGCCTCACCCTCCCAAGCCACTAATATTACAGGTGTGTGCCACCTTTGTATAAGCCATATTTTAAGCACTCAAAAGCTACATGTGGCTACTGGCTAGTGAATTGGACAATGCAGATATAAATCATTTCCTACATCTCAGAAAATTGTAGAGAGTAACTTGCCAAAGTTAGATAGCAAATGTAAAACCAAGATCATGTGCATACACACACATATCCTTTAACAGGTGAGATCAAATAGCCCAAATTATGCATTTTCACATCATCTTTTCTGTTTCATTATATAAACATTTTAATGATTAAAAAAATTGTAATGATTACATAAAAATAGGTTTATCATAAGCCACTTAACCATTTCCCTTTTATTACCAATTTTTCGATTTTTCATAACCTTCAGAAATATCTATTCTCATGATATATTATTTCCTCTCAATAGATTTGGAGAAAATAATACATTATCAAGAAAYTGAAATTTGGAATCTAGTTTTCAAAGGTCTAGCATTTAATAGAAACCTAYCTTTTATCCTTACATATTAAACAAACATCTAAAATTAAAATGGAATGCTTAAAAATTCAGAATTTTCAAGATAATATTTTTCCATCTTCATTAAATATAAATGAAGAAATAAACATTATCTCAAAAAGATAATGTATGGGGCTGGAGTTATAGCTCAGTGGTAGAGCACTTGCCTAGCAGGTAGAGGCACTGGGTTCAATTCTTAGCACCACATAAAAATAAATAAGTAAATAAATAAAATAAACAATTTTAAAAAGACAAATGTACTCTCCTCAATTTTTTAAAATAACTATGGAACTATACAATCAATACCTCGCTCTTTCAATGGCTTCTGTCCTGTGGACATTGGAGAGTTGACCCAAGCAAAAGCGATCTCCTCCAGAAGGATCCACATATCCATCAACAGTTACAATAGGGCAGCTTGAAGGAACTTTAAATGTCTCTCCTACCTGAACGTCCATCTCAAAGTAAGCAATGGAACACCAATACTCAGGAGCTATAGGAAATAAACAAAAAAGAACATCCATCCATTTGAATATTAGGCCTTTACTTACACTCCACAGACAGCTTTTCCAAAAAGAAAGGGTAAAACAGGGGAGAGGGAAATGAAAAGCACCCCAAAGAATTGGATTAAAATAACACAGTGCATTAAAAAGTAGCAATTTCCATGTCTTCTATTTTCCAGCTCAGTACCCAGTACTGTTCTTCAAACCCTGAAGTCATTTTTAAAATCTGGAGTTTGATTAGGATCAGATCAACTGAAAAATATAAGGCAATAGAATCAGTCAACCAAGGAGTGAACCTTGGAAACAATAAGCCAAAATGAACTTTTCCTCCTCTAAATTGTTCTGGTCAGGTATTGGTCACAGTGATGCAAAGCTGACTAAAACAGCCTCTTTCCGATCTTTCACCCCAACGAATAAATGCCATATAAATATCAACTCTGCAGCTTGTCAAAACCAGCAAGAATAGAAGGCTGGAATTACTCAATTCAAAGAGGTTATTCTTAATGTTCCAATTCATTTGAAAGGGACTGAGAATTTTATGTGCTTACTTTGGTATTTTAATTTTTTCCCCTTAAATTAGTGAAGTCTCATTTAGTCTGTGGGGTGCTCATCACTGCCAGGAAAAAAAAAAAGGTTTTGAAAGACTGAGTTGGGGGCTGGGGATGTGGCTCAAGTGGTAGCTCGCTCGCCTGGCATGAGTGCGGCCCGGGTTCAATCCTCAGCACCACATACAAACAAAGATGTTGTGTCCGCCGATAACTAAGAAATAAATATTAAAAAAAAAAAAAAAGAAAGACTGAGTTGGGCTGAGGATATATAAGTCAGTGGTAGGGAGCTTCCCTAGCATTTGCAAAATCCTGGGTTCAATGCTCAGCACTGTGATAAAAAGATATTGAGTTAACATAAATTTTTTATAATTAAGAATGTAATATATATTACTACATATTTCTGTAAGGGGGAAATGTATTATAAAGCACAGTTTTAACAAGTAAATGTTGTTCAATTATAATGGAAAGTATGTTTCCAAGATATTATCTCTAATATATAAATAAAAATAAAGTCATTCAAGACAAAGTTCAAAATCTGAATACCTAAGAGTCACGTTATGAATTATTCCTTTTATTATTCATATCTGAATGAGATGCCCTGTGAGAATCTTATSAATATATAAGGTGCTCTCTGGAATGGTGGATTGCTCTAAAGTGCCAAAACATATCTGAATTTGTCAAGTTAAGGGTTTCAAATCCATTTGTGAATTTGAACACATCCAACCTGAAAGACACTGAAGAAACATTTTAYTTTAAATTGCAATCAATATGATGAATATCTCAACTGAGGCAGGAGGATTGTGAGTTCACAGCCAGCCTCAGCAACTTATCGAGGCACTTAGCAACTCATCAAGGCACTTAGCAACTCAGCCAGACCCTGTTTCTAAATAAAATATTAAAAAAGGGCTGGGAATGTGGCTCAGTGGTTAAGACCCCTAGGTTCAATCCTCAGTACCAAAAAAGAAAAATAAAAGAAATGGAGTGATTAACCTTTTCCAAATATGTAATTTTTATTTCTTTTCTGTTTGTTCACTAAATGAGGACAGAAGACATGTAAACTAGTACTTAGCATTATTAGAAAGCACTAGGTAGCAGGAGACAAAGGATTAGTATTCTCAACAGTGGTGTGCTTGAGCTACATTTAGGAGTACAGTTCTACAGAGAAGTCTATATGGAGAGAAACTAGAGCTTCCTGCCAATGATAACACAAACTAGACAGGTGTGGTGGTAAATCACCCTAAAAAGGAACCTTCCAGCCCCTAAAAAGYCTTCAAATGGTGACAACAACTTTATTGCAACTTCATGAGACTTCAAACCAGAAGTACTCAGCTAAACAAACTAATGTAACAAATTGCTATTACTGTTTTAACTTCTCAAGTTTTGGTATTATTTGGTATAATTTGTTGCACTGTAAAATATAGTACTATAGAACATATAATACATATGCAAAACATAACATATACACTAAAAAGGTAAAGAGGAATGATATACCCTGCAAAATTAGGTAAGTAGTGCAAGATGTTTAAAATATGAAGAGAAAGAGCTAGAGAAGTATGCAGGGGCCAGACCAGAAACTCTCCTCTGCTTTGCTAAGGAATATGGACTTTAATCTTATGGCCAAGAAATGAATAGGTAATAAACTGCTACTCAATACTTTTAAAATTTGAATATAGTTATGTTATTTCTCTTGAGCATTACTTGGTAAGGAGGAGGGTACCAAGACTGAAAGCTCTCCTATCAGAGAGACCAGCGTGAATATTCTTTCTAAAAGTATAAGAAGAGACATCAAGAGTCACAGTTATGAAGTAAAACTCCTTGGGGACCCATTAGTATCCATAGCCAAAGACCATCTATCTCAGTTCTAACCTGCCGACTTCATTAAAATGTATATACATTCAATCCTCAGTACTGCAATAAATAAATAAATAAATAAATAGTCAGTATATGCAGAGCTTATCTCCTCTTACAACTAGCAGGACAGAGATCGGCTCAGGTTTAAGTCACTTCCTTAGTCTACTGAAAGACAAAGGCAACAAACACCAATGCAAATTGCTATGGATGTATATCCTCCTCTAGTAAATGCTATTCTCTAAATACCAGAGATGGTATGGCCTAAACATTATAAGAACAAAGTCAACCTATCAAAAGGTCAAAGGAAGGGGCTGGGGTTGTGGCTCAGCAGTAGCGTGCTCACCTAGCACATGCGAGGCCCTGAGTTCAACAAGTAAACAAAATAAAGGTATTGTGTCCRACTACAACTAAAAAATAAATATTAAAAAAAAATCAATCTGCAGTGGAGTCTATATCACTAGCTAAATACTACTACCACTACTCCCACTCCACTATTCCATCCAGGGTAGGTTCTTCTCTAGATCCCCAACTATCCATGTTCCCGGAGACCATCTCCCACTAAGCTACTGAGTCTCCAAAGGTGGTAAGAACCACTACTGATTTTTAATGATGCTACCTCAGTGCCAGCAAAAATTTTCATTCTTATGGCTCAACATTTTCTCCTTACCATTATATACTTCCTTTACAAAAAAAAAATTTAAGATTGTGACAAAATGATCCAATTTATATAATTTCAAAAACCAAACTGCTAAACTAGGTTGTTTAGGGATGCTTCTTTTTTTTTTTTTTGTACTGAAGATTGAACAAAAGAGCACTAAGGTATATAGCTCCAGTCTTTTTTAGTTTTTGAGACAGGTTCTAAATTGCTGAGGCTGACCTTGAACTTCCAATCCTCCTGCCTCAGCCTCCTGAATTACAGGTATATACCACTGTGCCCAATAAGCACACATTTATTACTTTAAGGGAGCAAAAAGAAAAAAATGATATGCATAAAAAGCAAAATAGTGGTTACCTCTAGGGAGAAGAGAGGAAAAATTTTCAAAATGTAGATAGGAGGGTTTCTGGGGTACTGCAGTATTTTAGTTCTCAATCTGGGCAGCGGTTATGTAGGTGTTGGCTTTAATATCATTCAATAGATGATATGCTAATGTTATGTTCTTTTCTATATATCACATTTCTCCAAAAACTACTATAAAGGCAAGGCCACTTGATCCACAAAAAATGTTTAAAGTCATAACAAATATACCATAACACATACAGAGAATATCTATTTAAAAAGATAATCAAACTAGAATATACATAAAGTTTAAAAACTGGTTTTGGCCAGGCACAGTGGCTAACACTTGTAATTCCAGCTACTCAGGAGGCTGAAGCAGAAAGATTGCCAAATTCAAGGCCAGCCTTGGCAACTTGGTGAGACCCCGTCTCAAAATAAAAAATAAAAAGGTCTGAAGATACAGCTCAGTAGAAGAGCACACCTGGATTCAATCCCAAAAGCTACCAAAAAAAAAACAAAACAAAAAAAAAAAACTTTCTGTCCCACCACCATCAACTAAAGAAAATAAATATTATTTACCTCATTAATCATTAAGCATCGATTTAACCAGTTAAATTTACTGCTAGTGAGCATGGTTAAACTAATTCTCATAATCTTGATGTTGTCGCTATAAAGCAATCTGACCTTTGGTCCAGAAATTATTAATTTCTTAAACAAGGATAGTCATAAACAAAAAAATCTTCCCTTCAATTATTTTTAAACAGCTGAAAAAATGGAATCAGCATACATAATCAGCAACAGCACACTATTTACACAAATAAAAAGTATGTAGAACTACATGAACTATAAGTTATCCTTTAAATTAATCATTTTGGTCACTGTGGTTATACATTTTTAGAATCTTTATTGGAAATCTATACAGTTGTCCTCCAGTATCCATGAGGGATTGTTTTCAGGGCCCTTTGTAGATATCAAAATCTGCAATGCTTAAGTCCCATATATCATCTTCCTGTATACTTTAAGTCATCACGTGTAGGTTATATGCAAACACTATGCCATTTTATGTAAGGGACTTGAACATCTGCAGATTTGATATCTGAGGGGCATTTGGAACCAACCTCCTACAAATACAAAGACACAACAGCATTCTCATCTTTTTAAACTAAGAAAAATCATTATGAAGGGATGAAGGGGGAGGGGCTACACAATAGGGGAACTTCAATATTTATTTTATTACTTTGTTTTATTACTTCTATGATTTAAAAAAAAATCATGTACAAGCTCAATTAAAGAAAGCTACTTAGCTACTTAGTCTTCTGAACATAATTTAATCATATAGTTTCTAAATTCCAGTTAAGGAAAGATTCTTGAACTCTTTCTTCTAAGATACAATGAATTATTTTTCTTTTCAGCATCTATTTAAGATTCTTTCCTGCCTTTTAAAGCTACAGTTTTACAGTGGTTCTATTTCAAAACCTAGTTTTATTCTACTGTATATTTATGTATCCAATGCTGAAACCAGCATTTCTGTACTTTATATTTTAGTTGCAAACAGAATTCTTGTCTTTTCTTTTCCCTACCTTTTTTTCTGGCAGTGGGGGTGGGGGAGGTACTGGAGATTGATCTCAGGCATTCAACCACTGAGCTACATCCCCAGCCCTATTTTGTATTTTATTTAGAGATAGGGTCTCACTGAGTTGTTTATCACCTCGCCATTGCTGAGGCTGGCTTTGAGCTCGCAATCCTCCTGTTTCAGCCTCCTGAGCCACTGGGATTAGAGGCATGAGCCACTGCACCTGGTGTTGTCTTTTCTTTCCAAGACAGTTAAAATGAATCAAATATAGCTGGGCATGATAGTCCACATCTGTAATCTAGCTATTCAGGAGGCTGAGGCATAACAGGAAGATCTTGAGTTCAAAGACAGCCTGGGCAAAATAGCAAGGCCCCATCTCAAGGAGGAGAAAAAAAAAATATCAAATACAGTCTATATATGATTTTATTAGCTACTCATAAATACTTAACTCACATAATGAGTATTACACTTGTTTGAAAAGCTAACTTACCTGGTAATTACGGTAACACCTGTATGTGTATTCCAATTACCACAATGGAAACCTAAACATAGGGAATCAATTTTGAAACACACTTACCAGGATGATTGGAAATGGGAGGCTGGAATGCAAGTTCATTGTGAACTGGCCCTAAAGAAAAGACAATAAAAATCCCATTTTTATTTATTAAAAGTTTCCCAATGCTAAAACTTTTAATAAATCTTACTATTACCTTATGATTTGTTAAAAATCAAGCTTAAACAATTTCTAAAACTTAAAAGCTTAGTTTAGATTACTTTATAATTATAAGCAAATACTTCTGAATTACTTTTGTGGATATATAACAACTAACACTTTAGTGCTATCTGCCAAATGCTGTTAAGCAATTTACAAATAGTTTTATAAGCAGTTTGCAAATAATTTTTCATGCAGTATTTAATGCAGATTATAAATGAATTATTCATGTAACATGTAATATAGAATAATTTATAAGAAAATATATAGTAATAATTTAAATCATTAAAACTATTCTAAAAACAAGACTATGTTTATTAAGGATRTTTATATAATGGAATAGTAGCTAACAACTGCAAAAAAACACAGGTGAATTATTACATTTTCTTACAACACTATTGAGTACCCTTATAGGCTTAATGAGGTTAAATAAGTTGCCAATGATCATACAGCATAACCCAGCACTCTTAAACACTATGCTGATCCAGGCAGCCATTAAAACTATATTATTTTAAGACATGGAAAAACAGTAATATAATTGGAAAAAAAGCAAATTATAACAATATACATATAATGTGACCAACCCTTCAATTTACATATACCCATTTATATGACTGGAAGAAAAATAACAAAATATCAGAAGCAGAGATCTCTAGGTAGTAGGATTTTGTGTTATTTTAATTTTGTTACTTATACCTTTTGGTATTTTAGAGGTTTTCTTTGGTACTACTAATCTTTAAGTAAGAGGAAAGAGATTTTATATATATGGAAGATTTATACTCCTAGTTTTAGTAAGCCACATGTAAGATGTTCCTATTCTGACTGAAACCATAGGCTACCTGTAGGGTATCCCTCCCAATCATGCCTGCACCGAATATTGACAGATTATAAACATCTAAGTATCTATGGCACTGAATACTATCGCAAGGGACTGTTGAGAATGTAGCACTCAAGATGTTTCAATACACTATGGGTGGATATACAAGATACACATGAGGTTTAAGGAGAAACAGAAAGCAAACAAATGAATGGAATCAATGTGGTGTTGTGTTAATGAAACATCAGCAACAGAGAAATGCATATTTAGTATATATCATTCTAAAACAAAGTATGGTAACTACAAAAAAAACCTACTTAATAAAAATGCTGAAAAAAGTAATGAAAGCACTAATTATTTAATGAAATTAAATTGTAGGATAAATAAAAGATGTAATAACGTTAAAAAAAAAATAAACTGAAAGCAAAGTCCTACAAAATAAAAAGTCCTTACAACAAAAACAAGAGCTTACAGTAATGTCCGGGATGGGGCGGCATAGGCGGGTGGTGCTGAAGATGGCCGTTTTGGTGGTGAGGCAAATTAGGTGTGTATGGAGCAGTCCTACTTCCAGTCCAGGTGGTAGTGCTGTCTAAAAATTAAGGCCCACATGGATTAATTTGCTTTTATAAAGGCTGCCTATTTTTCTCAACTATTTAAAAGATTTTAAAAAGCATGTACATACTATGATGGTAAGTAGCTGGCTGACCAGTAAATCCATTCTGCTGCTGTCCTGGCTGAGGCCCTGAAGCTATTTGCAACAGTCCTTCACTATGACTACCTGCCAGAATACTGGCAGGCTGACCTAGAGAAATAAGAAGAAATTAACATGGTACACGTACAGATGCAATCCTATGATTTTATACAATTAATGAAGGACCAATTGTATCTGATAATCCACAACTATAAAGATGAGTTCCAAAAGTGGAACTCACCCATTGCCTATCAAATAAATAAGCTAAAGTCAGCTTTAAAGGCAATCCTTAATTTTAAGAAGTTCAAAATTATTTCATCTGATAATGTCTGACTAATTTTAATGGCCGATTTCTTCACAAATATTCTTCAAATGCTAGCCAAATCCTACTACTTGTCTACACTAYCATAATAAGTTAAGAAACACATCAGTTAGCAACATCACCCAACTCTCTCTGGATATTTTTTAATTAGGACCTCTAAAACCCAGGTTCAAGAAAATATTGAAATCTAAAAGTTAATTATTATCAGCACTAGTACTGGTAATGGCAGAAGGCTAGAGTTTGATAAAAGAAAAGCAGAGCAGACAAATATTTTAAATGGGATGCAATGGGGAAAAGTGAAGAAGTTAAAAATATCTAACTCTACTGTGCAATCAAGTCAATATAGTATTTGTTTACAAAACAAAACAAAAACCCTATCCATCTACTTTGAAATTTTTTCATGTGCTTTTAAAAACCAAGAATTATACATTTTCACAAATGCCATCATAATTCCTATATTTATATGAAAGTAGATGCCCTCTCTCAATGCAACATACCAGGAAAAATTAAGCTTCCCTTGGCTTTTATTCTACTCAAAACACTCTATGATATTGTTTACTGTCTGGCATTTTTAAGGCTTTTTCCCCCACCTTAGGTGGAAAAGATTATTTCTTAAAGCAAGTATTAATTTTAAGCATTAACAAAGGTACCAAAATTAATTTTAAGGCAATTGTTTCTCCTATTTAGAAAGCTTTGAAATTCCCTATGTTATTTGTGACTGGATCACCTCACTCTACTCATTTAGATGGAAATGTAATCAAATGGAAGAGAGTAAATGTCAACATTACTCAAAGTATCAAAAAGGCATATTTTCCTCCTCTCTACATATCACATTTTTATAAAGCTAAGAACTATAAAATCAAATGCTAAAGAAAATGTTTTGATAACCCTCAACCTGTTTATTTTTAAAGATGTTCCTAAATCATCCCAAAAAATTCTCTTAAGTTTTCTTTAAAGGTCAGTTATGTTTTTGCTCTTGGTTTTAACACCTGTACAGACTATGTGCTCTTAACTAACTTACAAAAACTATCACTAAACTGGAGAAATTATTTTCATTAGAAGTATCTAAAAAGAAACTCTGAAGATTCAAGTGCCAAACTAAACAAATTATAAAGTGCCAAACTACAGTCATCTGTATTGAATATTTACATTACATAGCTCCAAGTGTATCAGATAAACAACATAATGAATATAATGAAATTGGCTCATATAAAATAGCCTCAAATTCCTCTATTTTAGCCAGTTTCTTTTCTGCAATTCTATCAATATACTTTTTGTGATGTTAGGAAACACTGACTATAGTAGTTACTATTTAATAACAAAAATTTACTCCTAAAATACAAAATTAGATGCATTTCACTCATAACACTTTTTCTGGTCTTCAAATAAGACGAAACCACAAGGAGCAAAACAGTTGAAATGAAGTCACTTTAATAAGCATTAACAAAGGTACCAAAATTTAATATCCAGGTTATATAAACAGAGATAGACAGCTGTGCTCTAACACTAATCTATGCTCAAGCAGCTGTCATGTATCTCCTTTTATTCTCTATTTGTTTATCAACCATACTCACAAATTGGTAACTAAAAAGTAGACAGTTATCTGTGATTAAAGGTCCAAGTTTTAAAATGAATCCATATAGCCTACTTAAAAACACTATCCAACCAGGTACAGTGGCGCATGCCTATAATCCCAGAGGTTCAGGAGGCTAAGGCAGGAAGATCACAAGTTCAAAGCCAGCCTCAGCAAAAGCGACRTACTACACAAAGCAACTCAGTGAAACCCTGTCTCTAAATAAAATACAACATAGGGCTGAGGGCGTAGCTCAGTAGTCGAGTGCCCCTGAGTTCAATCCCCAGTATCCTAGTACCACCCCCCTCCCAAAAAAAAAAATATCCACAGTGAGATTTTCACATCTTGTGTAGCAAAACAAAAGGTATTGCTTTGATATCACGAAATAGATTAAAGAGAAATGTTGGTATACTTTACTTGAAAAGATAAAGATACCAATCATAGATACCAATCTCCCATTTATTCCAAAGATCAAATTTCAATGTTGACTCTGACCTGATATTAAAGTAAACAGAATAATAGTCCCTTTGACAGCAACTAACAAAGTTACCAGTCTAAATCTATCAAATGTCTACTGCTCATGTAGGCTTAAACACAATCCCCTTAGTATCCAGGTACAATTAACACCATACAGATACCAAGACAATGTTCTGTAATTCATTTTAAAAAAATATTTTTAAAAAAGCTGTTTCACTTTCTAAGCAGCAAACCGTTCAACCTTTGGTGATATGAAACTAAATAGCAATACTAAAAGAACAAGGTCATATTATCTTAGGCCTCMAAAAAATCTGAGCCTTGGCTGGGGATGTAACACAACAGTAGAGTACTTGCTAATTCTCAAAGGCCCTGGGTTCAATYTCCAGCACCTCAAAAGATAAAAGAAAAAGGAAAATCTGAACTTAATACCCTTCTGCCTCCTACAATATGCAGAGAAGGTAACAACGCTATCATGGGAAAACTCCATTTGAAAAAGACTTATTTTAAAAAAAAAGAAGTAGTAATTATAAGATATTAGGGAAAAAGAGGTGAAGAATTCAGCTTTACATTGAAATTGACTAAAGCTGGGGCTGGGGCTGGGGCTGGGGCTGGGGCAGAGCAGTAATGCACTTGCCTGGCAAGTGTGAGGCGCTGGGTTCAATCCTCAGCACTGCATATAAATAAGTAAAAATAAAGGTCTATCAACAACAACAAMAAAAWTTTTTTTTAAATTGACTAAAATAATGTCTATCCAGTGGCATGTTATAAAAAAGTTTGTCAAGATCCCTTTTTCAGGCTGGGGCTGTATCTCAGTGGCAGAGCACTTGCCAACATGTGTGAGGCACTGGGTTTAATCCTTAGCATCACCCACCCCCGCCCCCGCCATAAAAATAAATAAATAAATAAATAAATATTAAGTCATGCTGTCCATCTATAACTACAAAAAAATTTTTTTTAAATCCTTTTTCTCTAAGTTTGTACAATGGAAAATTGAGAGGACTATTTTAAAGCAATATTTTCCCAGATAAAGCAAACTAAAAACACTGGACTAAAGAAAGATTGCAATTCCTTAATAAGACCTTCATAAATACCTTGGTTCAAAACTACTTGTTAACTACTTAAATATTTCTCTAMAATCCATCAGGAGAACTGGGCGCAGTGGTGCACACCTATAATCCCAGCGGCCTGGGAGGCTGAGGCAGGAAAATCATAAGTTCAAAGCCAGCCACATCGAGGCACTAAGCAACACAGTGAGACCCTGTCTCCAAATAAAATACAAAATAGGGCTGGGAATGTGGCTCAGTGGTTGAGTATCTCCGAGTTCAATCCCCAGTACTAAAATAAATATATAATAAATAATATATATATATATATATATATAATAAACAAACAGAAATATAAAATAAATAATATATAATAAATAAAATATCTGGAAAACTTAAGATACTTCTTACTCTTGCATATATTAGTAAATAAAAGACAAATTCGACCATTAATATAAATGTGTATCATAATCAAATCCATCAGTCAACTTCCAAATGATTATATATATATATATATATATGTCAATATAAAAACCTTTAAATAAATTATAAACACCGTTTTTTCCAGGACCAACTAAAACACGGTCCAATATTTGTTTATCTTGGGGCAGGAGAGTATGTCTGGCTCTGTGGTGTATAATGCTTGCCTAGCCGTACCAGGCCATGGGTTTGATCCCTAAGTTCACCTATGAGAGATACCACAGTACTTTTAACTTTTACTTTCTTGGGGTTTTCCTCTAAGTGACAATGTATAAATATTCATTGGTTAGGAAGTCAACTTGCTGACTACATCAGATTATATAACTTACTTGTGGAAGCCACAGGAATGTTGGGAAAGTTGGTGGTGCTGGTAGCATTTGACTCAGATGGGGCTAAAAGAGCTGGGGTACTGTATGTCTCCGTCGAAGCACGATTACTTGGTGGATGCTGGATGGTTTGAATTGAATGTCCTTCTGTGGATAATGATGGCTGTCCCTCAAAGTCATGAACATATTCATCCTTCACCAACATACTTGGTGGAGCTATGCAGAAAATTAAATATTTTTTAATTTTGCAAGTTTCTATTCCCAGGAGGAGAAACATATTTGCAATAATATGACAACCCTAAAATCAACTATTCTATAAATATTCTTTCAATCTTTGAAAAAATCTATCCCATATAAATACCAATTAGTTATATGACTATTACTTTTTCATATTTTAAAAGCATACTACTGTATCAGCAAAAACCATTTAGAGGTATTAGGATATTAGGATCAGTTATCTTTTATCAATCTGTCTCTGACATTTGAAGCTAGACTATATTCCAACAGCCTCCACAGCAATGGTCCTAAAGAGGCAATCCTCAGTTTCTTAGTAAATCCAGAAGTAATAATCATCTAAACAGATAACATTAAGAAGGTAAAAACCRAATGCCTGGCAAAATATTTATTCAACTGAAAAGACCAATTACTTAGCTCTTTTTTAATTTCATACTGTAAAGATATGAGTGGGATCTGATAGCTTATTCAATTTCAGGATCTAGTATTATTGTTAAGTAACATATTTCTTAAAATTGAAATATATAAATATCCCCAGTAAGTTAGAAACAAACAAAAATCCTTTAAAATTTCCCTCTAGAAACCCAATCCATAAAAGGAAATCTGATAAACGTGTGGTATAAAAAAACTCACTTATCAACATCTTTCAYTTGCGTGGTTACAATTTAATAAGTAAACTAGACTCTAGTTGAAAAAGCATAATCCTTTTCCATTAACAAACTTGCATTTAAAAAAATGCATTAACGGGCTGGGATTGTGGCTCAGGGGTAGAGCATTTGCCTCACATGCATGAGGCACTGGGTTCGATTCTCAGCACCACATAAAAATAAATAAATAAAATAAAGGTATTGTGTCCATTTTAAAAAAATACATTAACAAACTAAGGAATGCTTTGTTGCATTAAAAAAAAGAAGAAAAACTGAATTGTATTCATAATGTCAATTTTCTACCTAGAAACTCCCCATTTGGCTTTGGGCTACTGTTTTGGGGTTTGCTTTCTCTCTAGCAAAACCATCCCTTACTCTCTCTGAACTACTCCAGAATGTTACAATCCAGTGAACTCTGGTATTAGGTCTCTTCTTAGAGCAATCAGTTATAATCCACAAAGACATTGCCCTTTCCACTAAGAACCAGCATATCACTTATCTTTCCCCATCTTTCAATCTTTGGAAAAAATCTATTACACATAAATTTTCAGTTAATTATGTGACTATTTTTCTTTTTACTTGAGACTACTTCAAAGCAGTAAGAATAATCCATTGTTGAAATTTCTATGTACAACCTCTTAAAAAGCATTTTAATATATCAAAAGGAAGATGTTGGTATTTTTAAGACCCATTAATTCCACTCCAAAGTTTCTCTTTAGAAAAGTCTATGGAAATAAAAAGATAATCAAAATGATGCTTAACACAGCATCATGTATCAGCAAAAAATTGGACGTAACCACTCATAATTAATGTTAGCAAAAGTATAAAAATAAGACAAAGAAAAAATGTGGCATAAAATGGCTATTGTCCACATTTAGTCAGCCTTTTATTATACCCTTCGACAAAGTTCTGCAATTTTCTTCATACAGATCCTAACATCTCTATTTAAATTCTTGGACACTTTAGCATTTTTCTTGTTATCATGATTGAGATCTTTTTGCTGATCCCGCATATAAGGACAACATTACTAATTGGAGGCTATAACCAGTCAACTTGCTACTCACTGCTCATTTTTCAGTTGACCCTGAAATGGCTTAATGGGCAATCATAACATCCCCTTAGATAGTTAGGTCTTAAAAAATTCTTCTTGCCTTACTATGGTGGCTCAACTCTCCTAAGTGTAAGTTTGGAATCTTCTACAGATCTATGGATTTTTTAAATCAAATAACCTAAAATATATATATTGTAGGTAAAAAGATAGTATCAACAAGGATAGATGTATCTGCGATATATTTTTGCCAAGAGAAAAAAAAGAAAGTTTCAAATCATTATTGTATGCTGTGGTCATATACATGTTTTAAAAATCATACACTATAAGTAAAAAATCAAGGTCCAGAACAGTGAGTACAGTATGCTTTTTGTGTAAGAAAGGAGGGAAATAATAGATGTATTTTTTGCATAAAGAAATCCTAGAAGGAAACACCAGAAACTAATAAAAGTGATTACCTGAGGTAGGGGGGAATGGGGGCAGGGGTGGGAGCACTTCTTTTCACTGTATACCTTTTTATAGTATTTTGATTTATGGACCATGTATTGCCTATTCAAAAAAATAAAATTAAAAAAACATATAGTATATATTTTTTAAAGTCCAGAAAAACAGACACCAAACTGTTAAGTACTTCTCTTATGGGCTAGCAGTCAATAAGTTCATTAATTGAAAAAAATATTTATTGAGCACCTATGTTCCAGGTACTATTCTAGCACTAAGGATATAGCCATAAACAAAACAAATATCCCTTACGTTATAGAGCTAACAATCTTTTGTAATATTTTTCTGTTTTTTAAATATCTAATAGCAAGTACATATTACTCCACCTCCTCCTTTCTAATACTGGGCCACATCCTTGACCTCTCCAGGCACCAGTCTCTTCTTCTAGTAAAGTGTTAGATAATCCCATCTATAATGTGGGAGCACTGAGAGAATGATAACACAATATTCACAAATTATTTTGCTCAGTACCTGATAAACGAGTACTCAGTATTTGCTATTATTATTCAATCATATTTTTAGAATATTTGTACATATAAAGTGACTACAAAATGTTCTATGAGGGGTAAAGAATGTACTCTCTGTAGATGACAGGGAGGCTGAAGCCAGTGGACTTGCCTTAGGTCTTCGATCTTTATCTTTAGCAGGCAGGTCACAATAATGTCTGACGTTACTGTCAACTCTGTTACTTACTATTTCTTTTTTCAACCAGACTATGAACTGGAGAAAACATGGTTTATTTATCTTAGTGTTCCTGGAACCTAACAAGTACCAGGCAATACATGCTCATTAAATATTTATAAAATGAATACACAGGTCAATATGGTCATGGAAAACTTCATGAAAGAGATGAGACAGGCTAGAAACAAGTACCACATGACCCCCAAATCACAAGTGAAAGAACTGTTCCATTTTCTCAACTTTTAGTTACCTGGCCATGTATTATTTCTTTATCCAAAACTAGAATGAACTATGAGAAATATCTTTTTCTGAGAAATATCTTTTTCTGAGAAATACCATTTTCTGAGGAAATAAGCCACAAGACAGCCTTCGCATACCACTAGAGGGCTCCACAAGGCTGAATAAGCCTTAGAGTCACTAAAAAAAAGGCATCAATCCACACAACCCCACCAATAGCAAGCAACTCAGAACAACATTAATATTAGGACAGAGAAAGCTTCAAAATTTGAACCCCCTCACAACCACACCCACCGAGATATTCTAAAGTTTTCACTGCAGTCTTCTAATTCCTCACATGCACTGAGCTAAATGCTTTAGTTCTCCAAAAACACTGATGGGAGAATGGTGAAGATCTGATAGATGTTCACTTTCAAAGAAGAGAACTGACATGATAACACCTATGTGGCAAAAAGGCAGGGCATTAAGCAATCTTAAAGCAACCATTGCCAGACCAAGCCACACAGCTCCCTTTACCAACCCATACTTCTCAGAAATCTGTATAACAGTTAACAATGGCACACCACAGGACACTGTACAGTCTTCCTCTATTATTAATGACATGAAAGAAAAGTAAAGAATTAAAAACAAGTAGGCTTACATGCTCTTCCCAAACTTTAATGTCACATGATATTTCTGAGCTATCACTAGATTTTACAACAAAAGAGGTTCCAAGTGACTAAAATGCCTCCATAATAGCATACCTTCTAAAATGAAGGTGGCTCTTAYAAGATTTAATTTCATTAACAAGTTCTAAGTAACAGAGCTAAAGATATATCCATATGTATCAACACACTTAAAATACAAAAACACACTCCAGCTGGATTTTTTTTCTCACCTTGAGGGAATTTTTCTTTCTTAATACAGGATTAGATCATCTGTGATTAGCATATACTTTCAAATAACCTTGTTTTAGTTACAAGTGAAATATAAAACAAGATATTTCAAGATACATAACATATTTGAAATATAACAAGATTGAAAAAAACTCTAACATGTAGTTTTAAATCATTCTCCACATTTGATCACTCATGAAAGTTATGTTGAAATGCAGAAAAACTAAGATACTGGTATTTTTAAAGGATATGTTTCACAGAACTTCCAATTATCACATATTATAGGTATACTTACACCCATTTAAACTGGCTTTACAAATTTTCTAACAAAATAGAGCCAGTTTTATCAAATTCAAAAAATATTAAATTGATGTATTAATGTTTTTGGTGCCACTTCAAATTCAAAGAGCCAATAGCCAATTTAAATMCAGTTTTAAACACTGACACATACAGAAAAAAATCTACATTTCCAAAGTAGTTCCTTTTTTTCTTGTTAATATTACTGACACCTATATAAACTACTTCATATGAATCCAAAAAAAAGAGCAGACAGGCAAAAAGAAAACAAAGAAAGTTACAAGAAACAGATTACCTACCATTACTCTGCAGTGTTAATCCTGAGAGATCTTTATTTTTTAAAGGGAAAAAAAATGAAACATTAATCATTATCATGAAGATATGTTCCATTATAGAATGTAAATTTAAGTCAGAGATTACAAACCTTCATAAACATTGCAATTCAGGAAGTTTCATAAGTGACATCTAATAATATATAAACTAACTATTTGAATTTATAATATTTTCTTATTTTTCAAAACCAATGTGCTAAATGGGCAAAATATAAACTATACTTAGTTTTCACATTCAAAATACAAGTTTTGTTTCTAAGTTCAAAATTAAATACTTATATTTCATTAAAAATATTTGATTCTTGGGTCTGGGGTTGTGGCTCAGTGGTAGAGCGCTCGCCTAGGACATTCGAGGGCCTGGGTTCGATTCTCAATACCATATAAAAATAAATAAAGGTATTATGACCAACTACAACTAAAAAAATAAATAAATATTTTTAAAAATATATTTGATTCTTTAACCTTAAAGTTCTTGGTAACTCCTAAATACTTAATTTAACTTAGAAGAACTAAAACCCTATTGGGGTCTTTTCCCTTTATGCACTTAAGGATAGAAGTAAAGTCTACTTACCAATTCCAGGTGATACAACTCGTTCATAGTGATATGGATTCACACAAACACTATCACATTTTAAGTCAAATGCATACTGACAATATTTAACATGCTTTAATTCATTTTTGTGAAGATCAGGCCACCTCCACAGACGGGCATAGATTACATGAGGAAATCCTTTCCGACCAGCCACCTGGGGAAAATAAACAATCATTTATTAAGCATTGGTTATATATTAAGAATCAGCTGTGTGCCCCAGGTTATACAAGGAACTTTACAGATGTTTTCATTTAATTTTCAAAATCCAACAAAGTCAGCATTATAATACTGTAAAATATACATTTGGTTTTGTTCCATTTCCTGGYAGACAATTCCTAAAATCTTAGAATCTTTAAAGTGATGGGTTTCATATGCTAATGAGTTGGCTGAAGACTGGAAGACTAGGTAGATGCAAGATGGGGGCTGTTTATTGGAAAGACTAAGGCAGCATAAGAGGGTTGGAATTCAGCCCCATTCCCCAACCTCTGAGAGGAGAAAAGAGCTATAAATAGAGTTGATCACCAATAGACCAATGTTTTTAATCAATCATACCTTAGTAATGGAGCCTCCATTTAAAAAAAAAAAAAAAAAAGAACAGGGTTGGAAAAGCTGAACATGTGGAGGTTCCTGAAAGGTGGTGGGCCTGGAGAGGGCTTAAAAGCTTACCTCACCTTATGCATCTCATCCTTCACAACAAACCAGTAAATGTGTTTCCCTGAGTTCTGTRAGCCACTCAAAGCAAATTAATCAAACCCCAGGAAGGGGATAGGAACCTGATTTATAGCTGGTGGGTAAGAAGCACAAGTAAAACAACGTGAGGTTTGTGATAGCATCTAAAGCCAGGAGAGGAGGGTGGCAAGTCTTGGTAACTGAATCCTCAACCTGTGGGTCTGCCACTATCTCCAGATAAGAGAATGTAAGAATTAAACTGAATTAAAGGAAACCCAGCTGATGTCCCCTGCAGAATTAATTGCTTGTTTGCTTACTGGTGTGAAGAAACCTTTACACAATTTTGGGTCACAGAAGTGATTAAGTATTGTGAGCAGAGAACAAGAAAATCTGAGTTTGAGCAGTTTTTTCCCCTATATTCAGAATACCATAACCCTCATTTCATAAGAGAAAACCACAGCTCAAAATAACTCCGTCATGGTCACACATCAGTTAGAATTTAATCCTACATATAATTTTAAGACTTATATTCAGATTTTTTAAATGCAAAAAAAGTATGCTGGGTGCAATGGCACATGCCTGAAATCCAAACAATTTGGGAAGCTGAGACAGGAGAATCACAAGTTTCAGGCCAGCCTTGGCAGCTTAGCAAGACCCTGTCCCAAAATAAAAAAATGAAAAGGGCTAGAGATGTAGCTCACTGGTAGAGCACCTCTGGGTTCAATACCCAGTATCCCAATAATAAAATGAAATACAATAGTACAAAATTTGTTATTGAAACTATGACTAAAATCTACAAATAACATTTTTAAATCTAACAATATAAGATTTCTGTAAGTATCTTAAAATATATATTATATAGTTCCATATGAAAACTGTCCAGTGAAATAATGTGGTACCACTAAAACATGATAGGAGATCTCTAAATGGTAAAAAGATAATGTATAATTTAGATTTTAAATATGTATACAATACCAAAAAATGGTTATAAGAATGAATATCAGAGTGCTGAAGGCAGTTCTCTCAGAGTATGGGACTTCTTCTGCCTTCTATTTGTATATTCCAAATTGAACTATTTTTTTGTTTGTTTGTTTTGTGGTACTGAGGATTACACCCAGGGCCTTGTGCRTGTGAGGCAAGCATTCTACCAACTGAGCTAWATCCCCAGCCCTTCACTGAACTATTTTTGAGTAAGATTAATTAAAAACTTTTTAAATATACCCTTCATACATTCCCATAATGCATGCATACTGGTGTAGAATGTGAAGTATCTAAAGAAATGGACCTCACATTAAATATCCTAAGTAACTCTATGAGGAAACAAGAAAGYTTTTAATCCACCACCACCACAGAAGACAGAAAAACTCTAAGACTAACCTGAAGTCTTCCATCCAATGTTCTCTGTATTGTAACACATTTACTAGGATGAGCTCCATTTGTAGTTATAGCTGTTATTAAAGAATCCAACTCATCTTTCTTCTCCTTCAGCTTCTTTACCAAACTTTCAATTGCTCTTTTTGCAAATGTTTCACTTTCTCCACCTTGTCTATGGCACATCAAACTATGTACAATGCTCAGGCAGGCATCATTACTTGTTGGTGTATTTGTAATAGACATATTGTCCATTTGTTCAAGTTTTTTCTTTTAAATCAAATCTCTCTCCAATATCTGCAGCAATTTTGATCTTTTKGAGGCAGTGAAAAACAATGGCTAACGTTGCAAGGAAAATTGTTAGACATCTGGTGTTCAGGATAACCTGAAAAAATAAATAGAGAGATATGAGAACACATCTCAAAGGTAGATTCAGTTATCTGGGAAAAGACAAAACTGCTGTAGTTAAGTCAAAGACAATGCACATAATTAAAAACTGATGCTAAGAGTTTTAAATAGCTTAATTAAAATGTTGCTGCTTTTTTATTTTATTTTATTTTATTTTATTTAGTTATTGATAGATCTTTATTTTATTTATTTATATGTGGTGCTGAGAATTGAACCCAGTATCTCACCATGCTAGGCAAGCACTCTACCAACTACAGTCCCAGCCCCAATGTTGCTGCTTTTGACATTCCAAAATATTAAAGTTAGACCTTCTCCTTAGTATAAAGTCATGCTTAATCAAGTCTTATCACACATACTAGTCAGTTGTAAAATCTTTTTTATGGGGGGGAGGGAGTACTGAGAATCAAACTCAGGTCTTCAGAACCTGCTAGATACATGCTCTTCCACTGA